AAATTATCAATTCCCAACTTGACTCTCACTGGATTAAACATGACAATAGGTCTGCTCTGATTTCATCATCATTTAAAAAAAAAATCATCTATTATTTTTCACTTTATGTTTCTGTGTGGGAGCAAACTGTTGAAATCCATACTTGATGTATACTAAGCTGATCTTCTGTATATTAAGATAATCAAAAATGAATCTTGATGTGAATGGAAGGGGAGAGGGAGTGGGAAAGGGGAGGGTTGTGGGTGGGAGGGACGGTATGGGGGGGAAGCCATTGTAATCCATAAGTCGTACTTTGGAAATTTATATGCATTATATGCATTAAATAAAAGTTAAAAAACTTTCAAAAAAAAGATGTTATTTTATATTTGATATTAAAGACAAATAGAAGTTCTTAGGTTCCAGATTTATTTTAAACCATGGTAATTGTCTCCTGTGAGTGCAGAATGGATGAAATTACTTTGTCTCCCAACTGTTTAGTTCCCTGGAAATTTTATTAAAATGAAATTTACACCTTTTTAGATGCGTCAAAGCATGTCTCTTTATTTCCTTGTGTTTATGTATTTATGTGGGCTGTGCTACAGCAGCACACTGATGGTGTTGTTGAATTTTCAATTTCTGATTTTTTTTAATAAACTCGTTGCCACTGATTTTCTTTTTCCAGGCCAAGTTTGAACTTGAGGCATTTCATATCCGAGGCGAGCATGCAGTGATAACAACAAGGCTAGAAGAAACCATAGAAAATCTCAAACAGGAGTTAGAACACCGATGGCGAGGAGGATGTGAAGAGATGAGAGATGTGTGCATCTCCACCGATGATGACTGCCCTCCCAAGACCTACAGGAATGTATGCATCCAGACAGACAGGGAGACCTTCCTCAAGCCCTGTGAGGGTGAAAGCAAGACAACAAGAAGTAACCCAGTAATACCCAAGAAGTTGAACATCACCTCTTTAACCCAACTGTCTCCCCCAAGTGACAGCAAAGACATCCATGCACCACTTCAGTCTGTGGAAGGCATCTCATCAAACCAGCAGAAGACATCCACTCCCCCTCCTGCACCACCCCTCCCAGCACCACCCATCCCTCCACCTCCTCCCCTGCTGCCTAGCCTTGATCCTTTGCCACCAGCACATCCGTCACCACCTGTGAGTGCTGGGCCCCCACCACCACCACCACCACCACCTCCTCCTCCGCCACCACCTCCTCCGCCACCCCTACCACCTGCTCTGCCTCCAAGTGCTGGACCTCCTCCACCTCCTCCCCCACCACCACTTCCTAACTCCCCTGCTCTGACGAATAATGAGGGGCCTCCTCCTGCTCCAGCACCCCCAGGACTTGTACCTCCACCCCCTCCTGGACTCTTCTTTGGACTCACCTCTTCTTCCAGCCAGAGTCCTCGAAAACCAGCCATTGAGCCCAGTTGTCCCATGAAACCTTTGTATTGGACTAGAATACAAATAAGTGATAGGAGGTAAGCTCTTCCCTCAGCAGTTGTGAATTCCCAGGATTTTGACCATGTAATGTTTTATTCTTACCAGTTCAGTGTCTGCTTAATGTAGCACCCATTCTCCAATGTTGACAGTGTGAATGCCTTGGATAAGCAAAATCAGGGTGCTTGGGGAGGATGTCTGTTTCCACTAGGTCCTGTCTGCAACCTCTGTGAATTTCTTTGTGAGGGAAACAAAGTGTTCAGCATCAGGGTCTTTTATAAGGTAAATGTTTTCATTTTACAGATTAGGCAGAAGTCCAGATCAAAGATGCTAGGGCCTTCTCTAACATCACTGGGATGAATGAGCCTGAATCTGCACTCTAGGTTTACTGAGCATTTTTGGAATATCTTTTGTAATCTGTCATCTTGTTTTCAGATGTTATCATCAGCTCTGTGACCTGGATATTTGACCAATAGGTGTATTTTTCATTTTTTATTAAAAGATGTGTCTGAGTTACCAAGTCTTCTAATTAGACGAGAGACATAAACTCTCTCTGCTTGAATGCTAGTCCTTCCAATTGCTGAATTCCCTCACATCTTTATTCGCTGTTGCCCTTCAGTGAAAGTGCCAATATGTGGTTAGCTAAAGTGGAAAACATCTTCCATTTGTTTGGATTGTTAAGATAGGCCTGTAAGGCAGAAGTTAGTGGTAACTTGGAAACATGCATAGAGAAAGATTTGAGTCTTATTTCTTCTGCTTCACTTCTGAGTCTGTCAAGAGGATAATGAGAGAGATGTTTTTTGACTACTTTCTGGTTCTGACATTTATTTGCAATGAAAAACAAATGCAGAAAACATTTTTAAACTTACTCCCCAAATAAAAATATAATAGTGAATTTTTCAACTTATATAACATTTTGTTTAGGGAAGCTACAATACTAAGCAAAGTAACATGTAATTCACAATTACAAAACAATCAGAAATAATGATTAAAAGAAGGGGAGTACCTTTAAAATTTGGCACATGGTGAACCAAGTTGATTATGTAGTTTATATCACCCCTTCCTCTCACCAAAGTCAAAAGTTTATATGTGAAATATACTTACACTTTTTTTAGTGTTGAAACTTTATAACTTCCCAAATGAATCACCTATCAGATGATCCTGGAATAGCTTCTACCATTAATTAGGGGGTTAGTATATTTCCCTTTTCTGGTTCAAGACTCCAGTATTTCCAAGTAAGTTATTTTCCAGAATTTTTGAGTTGTGTTCTTTTATGAGTGTTCTCATATTAGTGTACAGCCAATCCAGGGTGATGGCTGGCACAGTGTGTCCTGGCAGCACATGGCGCTGTTCCACACGTGGGTCTCACTAGCCCACTTTTACTCCTTCCCCAAGAGACGTCATCAGCAATAAATAGCTGAGTCCGTAGGGACCACACAGCAGTATATCCAGGAGATGGGAGATCTTCACCCACCATTCAAGATGGGATAGCAGCGAGCCCAAGACAAACACTGTGTCTTTTCCTTATGTAGTCAGATGTTTTGAGAAGGAAATAATTGAATTCTCAAGTTCTCATGAGTTTCACTGTATACCTATGGTTTCACTTTTGAGTGCAATGAAAAGTTGATAAATGGGACATCAGGAGAGCCCTGCTTGGTGAATGTGTCAGCCTTGAGCCTGAACTGGGGTTTGGGGACTGCCCCTCTAGGTCACATTAAGACGAACTTGGAAACTTTCTGCCAGTACCACACTTGGGCTTTTCTATTATGGATTCCTCAAAATGTTTTGCATGTTTAAGTATAACTATTCTTTTCAATGAAAATTTTAGTCTTAGTCTTTTGGGCAGCCAAAAGCAAAACTATGAGTCTGTAATACATGAAGTACCTCGTACCTACTTAGATTGCGTTTCACTACTAACATGAATTTTTTTGCTTTTGCTCTGTGTGTGTGTGTGTGTGTGTCTTTGACGTCTATCTTCTAGACCAAGAAAGAGACATTTAGTTAAAGAAATTTCATCTGACTACCTTTCAGCTTCCTAATAAGTCTCACCTTCTTCTCCCCTCCCATCTCCTTTCTCCTCCTCCTCTCTTTTGAGCTGAAACTGTGGTCAGAAAACGCTTGAACAGTGTGAGCAGGTCCTCCTTATTACCAGTTACCCCCAACTCACTGAGAAGTAGTGTTCCAAAATTGTTTTATTTGGTATAGGAAATGCCTTTCCTATAGAAATAATGTCACAGTGCTGATGGAGTGCTCACCTTGATTCCCAGAGCAAATCTACCCCTGAATACAAGTGAGTCATAACACTAGTCATGGTGGCCGGAATCCAAGAGCTTAGAGCCAGGCAGGTGTAGGAGAGAGAGGGATGGGTCTGACAGAACCTTTCCGAGGCCCAGATCAGTGGCCCTTAACTTGCTGTGTGCTCCAAACTCCCTGGATCCCTTATCTAGCCAAGGTCTCCCTTTCTTCAGTGCAGCTGAGATAACCACTTAACAGGAATGGTGTCTGTTTCAAACTGAAAGTGAGTTGCAGAGGGGCATGGCTGAGGAAGGAATATAAGGGTGGATGCCATACAAAATGTGGAGGGCCAGAAGTGAATACAGCCAGGACTAAAATGCTCTGTTTCACGGGAAGGACAGACCAGTAGCAAAATATGAACAGCAGACTTGCAAAGTGCCATCATGTTTTTTGAATATGAAAATGGCTGTGTAGTATATAAAAAGATTTTGTACATCACCACATATATTGAGTTAACTTTATTGGTTGAGAGAGTACATATTTGGATTTATGACTTTGAAAAATAATGTGTAGACGAGACTATCTTTTTTATATAGTCTGTATATGTTAATAGTGTTTAAAATTAAGACAAAATAAGAAAATATATTAAGAAGTAAGCATTTGGGGCCAGCATAGTGGCATAGTGGGCTAAGCCTCCACCTGAGGTGCTGGCATCCGATATAGGCCCCGGTTCTAGTCCCAGCTGCTCCACTTTGATACAGTTCTCTGGTATGGCCTGGGAAAGCAGTAGAAGATGGCCCAAGTGCTTGGGGCCCTGCACTCATGTGGGAGACCCAGAGGAGGCTCCTGGCTTTGGATCAGCCCAGCTCTGGCCATTACAGCCATTAGGGGAGTGAACCAGCAGATGGAAGACCTTTCTTTCTATCTCTCCCTCTCTTAGTCAGTAACCCTACCTCTCAAGTAAAAAATATATTTTTAAAAAAGTAAGCATTTGGAAGAAGCTTTGTTCTGACTTCAGTGAGCCTACAGAGGAGAGTGACATTTTTAAAAACCTATTTGCTTGAAAGGTACAGCAAGAGCGTGTCTATGTTGATTTTCCACCTGCTGATTCACTCCTCAGATGACAACAGCAGCGAGATCTGGGCCAGGCCAATGCCTGCATCCCCAGCAGCAGCGGCGGCTTAACATGCTACACCACAACACCCACCCACACTAGAGAGTGACTCTTGTTAGTCAACTTTCAGAGGCCACCCTCATGGACCAGATTTTCAACAACTCTTTGCTTCAAAACTAAATGCTGTGGGGCCAGCATTGGGACACAGCAGCTAAGCCCACCAGTAGATGAAAGATACATCCATCCGTCTCTCTCTCTCTCTCTCTCTCTCTCTCTCTCTCTCTCTGTGTGTGTGTGTGTGTGTGTGTGTGTGTCTCCCAGTCTTAAAAAGAAAAATTCTTCAAAAACAAAAAGCACCTAGGCAGCCTTTTTTATGGAAGACCAGACAAACCATTCTCCCTGCAGCTGCTTTATTGAAAACTGAGGGCTGGTGCAATGGAAGAGTTTGGGGTTGGTTTTATTATTGTTTGAGGGTATGCAGGAAATACTATAAACCATATATTTTTTCTTTTTTAAAGATTTATTTATTTACTTGAAAGGGAGAGTGACACATATAGAGAGGGGAGGGGTATCTTCCATCTGCTGATTCACTCCCCATATGGCTGCAACAGCCACAGCTGGGCAGGGCCAAAGCCAGGAGCCAGGAATTCCATCTGGGTCTCCCACATGGTTGGGAGGGGCCCACATACTTGGGCCATCTTCTGTTGCTTTCCCAGGCACATTGACAGGTAGTTGGTTGGGAAGAGGAATAGCTGGAACTTGAACCAGTACTCACATGGGATGCCAGATGATAGGGGCAGCTACAATGCTGGCCCTCAAATTAGGTATTTTTTAATGAGCACAGTTTGTTTATTTCTTAAGGGTCCTGCTCTGGGTTTACCCAAGTTAATCCCAAAAATCATACTTAAAACAGGTAGATAAAGTTTGAAGAGGGGCAGATCCTTGTGTTAGTACTCCCTTTGCAGTCTAGGAAGTCTCCTGTGATGATTCTTTCATTGGTTCTTTCATTGAACTTTATGTGATGCCCATTTGTACCCATCATGGAAATGTCACAGACTGAGGGAAGAGCTGCATGAGTGGCACCCACAGTCAGAATCCCAGGATTTCGTGTCTCACGGGCTTTTTGTAGAGCATACCCTTTGATTCTGTCTAATGGGGAAACTTTTTTGAAATGTGTGTGTATTTAAATGTTCTGTAGCATGCTTTAAGCTGAAAAGTGCAATGCAAAAACCTTTTCTGTAAGGTTTGTTAGGATCCTGGGGCTTTTTTTTTTTAATAAAAGGAAATGAATTAGAGAAATAGTTCATCATATTCTCTTCTGTTTTGTTTCTTAAGGTTAACTTGTTGTTTTCTCTTTTAAGCCAAAATGCTACACCAACCTTATGGGATTCCTTAGAAGAGCCTGACATTCGGGACACTAGCGAATTTGAGTATTTGTTCTCTAAAGATGCAACTCAGCAGAAGAAAAAACCTCTGTCAGAGACCTATGAGAAAAAAAACAAAGTCAAAAAGGTATTGAGTGATTATAGTAATAGTTGTAATTTTATACACACACATATTTATGTATTTGTTGTTCATGGGATTTCATTATATGGTGCTGGTTTGCTTTCCTTTTGTTTTTAGAAAATGTCTTGGAAAGGATAGGTCCTTGATGGCAAATACAAAGAAAACCCACCCAGTATTTCAAGAAATCTGTGCTTGCTGTTTTGTTCATATATTCTGAATTTTCAAAATTCAATCTAAACCTTTTTTAGCCATTAATTATTGTTGAAAACAAAAATTTAATTTGCTGTTAGTGAAAGTAGTCTGTAGGCTGTATAAAAAATAGGTCAGATTTGTAACTTCATTCGTTTAACAAATATTTATTAAGAGGTTATTGTGTTGGGTACTATTCTAGGCATACATTTTCTAGTTTGTAGCAAAAGGCTAGTTAAGTTAAATAAAAGTCTGATTTTTCAATTGCCATAGCCACTTTCCAGTTTTATTTTTGTGGTTAATGGCTACCATCCTGGATATTGTAGATATATAAAACATTTTTATAATTATTGAAAGTTCTATTAGACACACTCTCTGAGCATGTGGGATGTATTGGTGAAAACAACTCCAGACATCCTTGCCCTGTGGAGTTTATATTAGCAATCAACATGAAAACAAACCATGTATGGGTGAGCATTGAGCCTTGCAGTTTAGGAACCTGTGTTCCCATCACAGTATCAGGGTTCAGTTCCTGGTTCTGGTTTCTGACTCCAGCTTCCTACTAGTGGAGACCCTGTAAGGCAACAGTGGTGGCTCAAGTAATTGGGTTCCTGCCACCTACATAGTCAACCTGAATTGAATTCCTGGTTCCAGGCTTCTGCCTGACCCAGGCCTAGCCATTGTGGGCATTTGTGAAGTGAACCAACAGATGGGAGCTCTGTGTGTGTGTGTGTGTGTGTATGTGTGTGTTTGTGTGTACACATTTGCCTCTCAAAAAAGAAAAAAAAGTAAACTCCATAGTAGAGCAGGGTGAAGATCAATTTTGCAGCATGAGGGTGGGATCTACAACTTTAAATTGAGTGTTCAGGGTCAACCTCATTGAAAAAGTGGCTACTTAACAAAGATTCAAGGACTTGAAAATGTAGACTCCCAGCCTTCTCTAGGAGAACAAGGTTAAATTGTCAAGTAGTCAGAGAGCATGACTTTGAATCCTACCTCTGCCACATAATGTGTGATCTACGTCAAAGAAAGTCCGGCTTTGCACGTCATGTAGCAACAGCTGTCTTTTGTTTCTACATATGGCATTTGAAAAGTCAGCCTTTGAAAAAAGTCAGCATTTGAAAAGTGAGCCTTTAAAATACTCCTTAGGGCCGGCGCCGCGGCTCACTAGGCTAATCCTCCACCTAGCGGCGCCGGCACACCGGGTTCTAGTCCCGGTCAGGGCGCCGGATTCTGTCCCGGTTGCCCCTCTTCCAGGCCAGCCCTCTGCTGTGGCCAGGGGAGTGCAGTGGAGGATGGCCCAGGTGCTTGGGCCCTGCACCCCATGGGAGACCAGGAAAAGCACCTGGCTCCTGGCTCCTGCCATCGGATCAGCGCGGTGCGCCGGCCGCAGCGCGCCGGCCGCGGCGGCCATTGGAGGGTGAACCAACGGCAAAGGAAGACCTTTCTCTCTGTCTCTCTCTCTCACTGTCCACTCTGCCTGTCAAAAAAAAAAAAAAAAAAAATACTCCTTAAAGTCTGAGGTACCGTCCCTTGTTTTCTTGTGACTTTTATATGTGAGTGTTATATTAACTGATGCTAAAATATAGAAAAGAGTGCTTGTTTTTTCTGCCACCACTGTATCAAGAGAGATTGTAAAGACACATGTGAGGCAGACACAGACAGTTCACCTGCCAAATGTTTGTGACGCCATGAACAGAACCAGGCCAAATGCAGATGTCAGGAGTTAGAAACTCAACCCAGGTGTCCCTCATGGGTGTCTGGGACCCAAGAGTTTGAGACATCATTGACTTCCTCCCTGATTGCACGTTTGCAGGAAGCTGGATCTATGTCAAAGTCCCAGGTCCTTGCAGTCCTTGTGCCTTAGTTACCTAACCATAACATGAGACTGTCCACTGCTATTGAAGTGATGATTAAATGGGTAATAAATGTATTGCGTATGGCGTGCTTCCTGGCACATAGACAGCTCTTAACCTATGACAGCCGGTCTTATTTTTGCCACTGTTGGTGCCACAGCTGCTGTTTCTGTGTATTGGCGTTTTGTTAACATCAGAGAAGGTGCTGAGGAAAAAGTGTTCTGCTGTTGAATTGCTGTGTGAGGTTAGGCTGGCTGTCTCCCTTCTCACATTTTCTCCTTTCTATAAAATGAGATTAACAAGATTCGATTCTATCTGACCTGCCAGGATGTCGTGCAGTTCAAATCTAAGAAGGTTTGAGGAAGTGTTCGGAAACTGTATTATCAGTCCTTCCTGCTTAAATCACACCATGGAGTTCATCAGTTCCTATCTCAAGTAATGTGATGGTGATGAAGTCAGCTGCAGCTTCCAGAGGGAAAATGGGAAAAATCTGAAAGTAGTTTTCTATTGATAAAATCAGATTTTCCTGTTGAATTTTATCTGAAAATCATGATAAAATTTTTCATCTTTGATGCTCATTAGAATTGTGCTAGGAGAAAAATAGTCCCAATAATAATTATTATAGTCCCAATAATAATAATTAAGGGAAATCTTTTAAAAAGATGGACATACTGGACAGAACAATGTGAGTTTTTCTAAAAACACAGTATATTCCAGGCAGGAGGTCAACTGATACAGTATAAAATGTGTTCCCATGGGTTAGATGCATCTGATAACTGATATGATTAAGGGTGCCTTGTAGCCAGACTGACTTTTCAAATGCCATATGTAGAAACAAAAGACGGCTGTTGCTACGTGACGTGCAAAGCCAGACTTTCTACGTTCCAAAGCCAGCTCAGGTTGCCTCTTCCAGGGAGGCTTCGGGAGCAACAGGAAACTCCCCTGAATGTTTTCTTAGACAATATTGTATTGAAGTTGTGTGTGTTCTGTATGTCTTCTCAGATTGATACTCCTTTTGTTTCTCTCTGGACACTTAGTCACATCTTGTTTACTCATAAAATGAATTCTTTCTGTTTTAGTGACTGAATATTTGTCTTAAAGGATCAAGGCATTTAGTCATTTTTTTTCTTTAATCTCTGTGTGGGCCAATTCAACAAATGGTTTTGACTAAAGCCGTTAGTACTTGATGTTTTTAGTTTCTGTCCGTGAGAGGGTAAACCTTCCCCCAAACTCTTCAAGCTTTCTGCCAATACCCCAGAGTCTACACACACGTGCTGTGCTTACTTTCTTCAAGAGGATGCAAAATATGGGTCTGCTTGGCTTTGTGGAATGGCTTCTGCTTGGTGTTTTCAGTGAGCTTGGTGACCTTTCTTAGAGCTGAGGTTTTAACTTTCGAGAAAATACTGAGCAGATTCAATGCCAGAAATCTCCAACCCTGCCTTCTGCAAGCCTTCCCTTCATACCCTGTGGCCAGATTTCTAATATCAGAGTGGATCTCTTGGTCTCTTCTAAGAGTCAGATGTTTCTTTCCTCCCTCCTTTCTTCTCTTCCTCCTTTCTTTCTCTCCTTCCCTCCCTCCCTTCCTTCCTTCCTAAAATAAAAAAGATTTATTTTATTTGAAAGCAGAGTTCAGAGAGGCAGAGGGAAAGAGAGAGAGAGAGGTCTTCCATCTGCTGGTTCACTCCCTAAATGGCCGCAACGGCTGGAGCTGGGTCAATCTGAAGCCAGGAGCTTCTTCTGGGTCTCCCACTCGGGTGCAGGATCCCAAGGACTTGGGCCATCTTCCACTGCTTTCCCAGGCCATGGCAGAAGTGGAGCAGAAGTGGAGCAGTTGGGACTCAAACCAGCGCCCATATGGAATGCCAGAACTGGAGGCGGTGGCTTTATCCGCTATGCAGCAGCGCTGGCCCCCCTCTCTTCTTTGTGAAGTGAAAATGAAACTGTCTTTAGAGGTTGTAAACAGCTGAGGAGCTTGAAAATTGGAAGCCCACTCATTTAGCTCCATCATCAAGTGGATCCCTTACAAGCAGACAAGGAGAATATGTGCCAAATATGTATGTGTTGGGGATTTAGAAATCCAGCATTCTGAAACTAAGCTGTGGGGGCTCAGCCGGCACTGAGATGTGCATGTGAGACACCTTGTACACTGAGGTGGTCCTCATCCCTCCTCATATTCTACATCTGTGTTTCAGAAATAATGGACACAATTGTCAAGAGCCTCTTTTGAATTCAAATACTAGTTTCTGGTATCAACTTCTAAAACAGTATTTAAATATTCCATAATTGGCACTGGTTTTTAATATAAGTAGATATATACTATTCTATCTCTGCTCCATCTCGAAAACTGGGCAAGGATACTGTTTTTAATATCATGTAGGCTAAGAATTAGAAGGAACCTTACCCATCATCTGATTCTCTCCCCTCATTTGACAAATAAGAAACTGAGACCTGAAAAGATGAAGTGGCTCATGGGAAACTGCACACTTTTAACTGAGACGACGTTCATGAAGATGAACACTTGGGATGATGTCTAAGGACCTCAACATGTGTCTGCATTTCCTCCTTTTTATTTTTTTTATTAATTTTTTTTGACAGGCAGAGTTAGACAGTGAGAGAGACAGAGAGAAAGGTCTTCCCTCCATTGGTTCACCCCGCAAATGGCTGCTACAGCTGGTGCGCTGTGCCAATCCGAAGCCAGGAGCCAGGCACTTCCTCCTGGTCTCCCATATGGGTACAGGGCCCAAGCACTTGGGCCATCCCCCACTGCCTTCCTGGGCCACAGCAGAGAGCTGGACTGGAAGAGGAGCAACCGGGACAGAACCAGCGCCCCAGCTGGGACCAGAACCCAGAGTACCAGTGTTGCAGGCAGAGGATTAGCCTTGTGAGCTGTGGTGCTGGCCTCCTTTTTATTTCAATAGTAATTTGCCATACTACTGATAGCTACTTCTATTGGGATGACAG